TGTATAATTGCATATATTTAGCATGTTCAGACTATGGTCCTCCTGATATGAACTCCAATATTGCCATTTTTGTTCGTTTAGTAATGAACAGCTGAAACGCGCTGGCGTTCAAATAACTACCACATGTTGGATCCGTAATGCTGCTTAAAGTTTGTGCTTTGATTTTTAAATTTTTAAATCCACGTATTTTAAAAATTGTGTAGATTCATCAGGGACCGTTCAACCTGCACAAAACATACCTGTATTAATCTACAAAAACTGGGGTAATCAGGCAATTGCTTGTTGTTATTTTTCACCACATGGTAAACGTTATGATAACAAAGTTTTAAGGTTTTCATCGTTTGAAATTAATGTTTATTTTTCTAATGGGCAAGTTTTAGATATACCATATGCTATACTGCATGTTTTCCTAGTGAATTCCATTACGCATCTTTTGTTGTTTTTATTTAAAGGCGATCCTGCGCTACCCGAAGCAGCTGAAAACGCTTTGCGCGTTTTCATTCTCCCAGTGGGCCAGGGGGATGCCACAGTTATCCAGTGTCCAATAAGTGGACGTAGTGCTGGGGACATCATATTTATAGACATGGGGTCCATGTCTTCAAAATCCATAGGATTCTGGACAGCTGCAAAAGTCACTCGCTTTTTAGGAAATCATTTGAAAAAACTTAATCGCGTCTACATAACACACACAGATTTAGACCACGTGAACATGCTCCAGCCTGTCCTTAACGCGAACGGATTGTGGGCGAAAATAAAATCTAATGTGACGTTAATTATACCACAAAATGCTGCTAATTGGGTAGCCGATTTCTTTGATGAAAGAAATGTGAGAATAATACAGCCTTGCCTCTGGGAAGATTGTAATAGAGGAACGTATAGCCCAAATATATGCTCAGGTAATGCGCAGATACACATACTTTCATCTGGCCAAGGTTCTTCCAGCAATGACGGAGGTCTGGTTCTGCGTTTGACATACAAAACCAAGAGTATGCTATTTCCTGGAGATCTGAGTTCTGTGAGCGAAGACTTTCTCCATTCGGGTAAAATAGCAGCAACTGTATACAAATTGGCACACCATGGTGCTGCAAGTTCACGCTTGAACAGTGACTCCTTTTTGCAAGCTGTTAGTCCGTCAGTTGTCGTAACTACTGGCGACCCTTGGTATCATCCTTCCTACCGACACCCTCGTTGTGACGTTTTGGAGAGAGTTAAGGGGTATTTACGAAACAAGGACCCCAAAATAGACTTTTTCTCACAAATGACGTATTCTTGCGGTGGAAATAGTAAAGGCGAACGTAAAGAAATAAGTGCGGATGGCTTTCCCATATTTACTTCGACACCAACAAACACATCTTTGAACCTAATACAAATTGACTTAAAGACAGGAAATATCCGTGTTAATAGTTTCATACGTGATATTGTGACACCTAATGGAAAGAGAGTCCGGCGTGGTAGTGCTGCTCAGACGAATAAGAAAAGTCCTCCACGTAAGATAAATGCTGTAGTGCTATGTCTGATAATTAATGTAAAGTCTATCCTTAAATGACTGTATGTGGAGGGATCGACAGTTTTGTTAACATAATTTATTGCCTTTTTGACCTAATTATGCCATTATATAGTAGGTAAAGTAGGCTTAAAAGGTTTGTTAAAAACCAAAATCGCACGAGGGCTTTTAGCAGTTGGAAATGGGACTTTATTGCATTTTGTGTTCTTTGTCCTTTAAATGTAACAATCCAATGTACTGTTTTAGAATATGTACTCAGAGACGAATGTGAAACAACGAAATCGTCACAGAATGTCAACGACCTTTCCTTGGAAGCAGTCTGCATGCCAATGAAGACAAGAATTACTCGAGATAGTGACCGATTCGAAAGGTAAAACAATTTACTAAAATCTTTTTTCCTGCATTTCAAAAATATTTTTCAGCAAATTGATAAATTATTGAAAAATTAACATGCATGAAACAGAAACATGTAACTCTTAATCAATATGCATTGTAAAAACCACGGCATTGTAAAAACTCTGAGGCATAGATCCATTTAGTAATCAATTTGCTTACAGTCTGGTGCAGTACACGTACGGAGATGTAATGTTTGAAAACCGCGAGCGTCTTGACACCTGGTGTGGCAACCCAGGAAGACCCTGCACTGACTGTCTAGAGATATCTGATGACAATTGGAGCAGCTGTGCAGACAGGATGATGGCGCCTAAAATGGTGTTTCTGATTCGGCGCTTAGCTGCATTGGTTTACCAGACATGGCCAGATGATGATTCTGATACAACAGGTACAGGATAAATAATATGCATACAATTCTAGAATAACAATGTCTTAAATTAGATGATTATTATGGTCATGACGACGATCTCCTTTTCACGTAAGGACTTGAGTGAGACCCAGTTAGATGATATGACAAAAATAATGTTTACTTTTTAATGTGCTTCGTGTTGTACTGAACACTTTTTATATTAAACATTTTTTTAGATTGCCGTCATAATTAATTATTGCAAACTTCCTGCTGTATTGTACATTTCGATCTTTTCATCTGTGGTAAGAACAAGCTAGATACAGAATAAAAGACACATGTTGCTACTGGGATATGAACACCATCTACTCAGTATATGTTAACATATACATTCTGATTCGTGCTTTAGTCATATCATTTCATAAGGTGTCACACTTTCTTTGCAGGGGCAGGTGTTCAGTGGCTCAAGGTACTAGAGGCATGGGACGAACCGACATCTTCTCACCCACAGGGTCAGCATGGAAACAGGTCGCTTCATTATGAAGGGAGGTAAGGCGCTTAACTTATTCCAAATGGCAATGACCATACGCCAGTTATCCACTTAATAGTCATATCCTACAATTGAGAAACATTTCATTCCAGGGCAGCAGAACTTACTATAACAAAACCAAACCCGACAAAAATTCAGGAATTAGCTCGGCTTGCAAGTTGCGCAGGATTTGACCATGTGCGTCAAGAAAATGACAGAATAAAAGTGTGCGTTTTGCCTCAAGAGGGTGACTTTGGTGAGATCGTTTCACTGCTGAAGGCACAACTGCGTGTGGTGAATGCACCACCTATAGATGAACATCAGTATGCCATCCCGGAGGAACTTGACGGAGAGCCCAGAATACCAAAACTGTTTGATGGCTGGAATAGAAGCCAGCTTATTTCTGAACACTTCAAAATACAGGACTTCCTGTGTCCACATAAACAGCGGCAGTATTTTCGGTATTTCCGCCTCGAAGAGAAAGTAGTGGAATGTCTTGAACAAGTTATAACTGACCTCAAAGAAGAGATAATTGTGGTAAAAGGCTACAGCGTTAGATCCGTGAATCTGATAAACATTGATAATAGACACCAAAATGAAAAACATAGGTACCAGATGGGGCAAGCTGTGTATATATCACTGACGCAAGGATCTAAGAAAACCATGAAAGAACTAGCACAGCAGGTTGTCAGGTCTTGCCTTCCATTAGTCACATTTGATCAACTCAGTCTTAATATTGGAATGCATTCTGATGGCGTATACATAGACATACACCCCTCAAATACATCACAGAGTGGTACACCATTGTACATGTGGACTGGGAGCGGAAAATGGAAGCAGAGAGACATCGATGACATGGACGCGTTTGCCGATCAGATTCAAAGAGGTAAAATGGATTTTAACAGGTCTGTTACTCTTTTCGCACTCCTATAGTTCAGTGGCGTCACGGTCGAGGATATGCATGTTTTTTTAACACGTCACGTGATAATTAATGACAATTTAAATGGAAAATCGAATATTTGAAACTCAAGATAAAGCAATTAAAACTTTTTTAACGCCGGAACGACTCCTGTTTTAACAGTTTAAAAACTACAATAACATTTACTTCTGGAATTACAAAACTAATTTTTTCCTCTTACAGGTGGCCCTATTATTGTCCCAAGGCGACCAGATCGTGCGTGCAAGACTCCGACTTTTGGAGAAGACATGTTTTATGTTTCTGTACAGTTGGATTCTAGGAGGTTTGTGCAGTGTTACTTGTAATTCTAGTTACATAAACGCTGCCTTTTTCAAGTCGATCGAGATGAACCAATTTAGGAATGAAAGTGTGCTCAAACAAAAAAAGTATCTAGCGGGTTTAATGTAAGGTATCTACAAGGGCCATGAACTTAGAAACATTTGACTACGGCTTGAAAGCTTATGATTTACCTCCCGTGTAATCGAACATCGTAATAGATCCAGGGAATTTTACTTCCAAACAACTAACTTTGACACTTCACTTCCTTTACAGAGACGACATATGTCTCTGAATTTTTAATATATATATATATATATATATATATATATATATATATATATATATATGATTGAGTCATTTCAAAATTAATTTAAAGTACATTTTGGTTTATCTGTGAAATTACCATTTTATTTCTCTGTAGCGTACCATCGACAGTTTCAAGGCAATTGTGAACTACAGTTGTATTTAACGAATCCATTGTCTCGACATTTTCTTTATGCAGACGAGACTGTAATTCAGCACAGCCATCACCATTCTGCCAAGACACAAAATCACATAGGGAAAAGGAACTAAAGGCCCTACTCAAAAAAGTTCAATCCGCGGTGGGATCACGAACACTGGAAGCAGGAAATGCCAGGGACTGTTTCGTAAACACGTGTGGAAAGTGCAAGGGATCAGGTCAGAACGGTTTCTATAGTTAAATATTCTATACATTAACTAAACCCGTCAATAGATACTTTAGTCATTTGTACATTACCACTGACAAAATGAGAGACATGTTTTATTTTTTAGCTTTTATATGCGACATAGAGTATAATATTATGCACATGCACTTATTTTATTTCCACTTGGATGCATTTTTATTTCAGATCAGGAAATGCTTTTATTTTACTTTTTACATTTGACAGGTTCTGTTTGGGAAAAGAAAGTACGCTCCTGTCTGGCATTCATGGGCGATTTCATATCCAAAGCCTCCACTCCGTTTAGAGATATGCACAACAAGGCGGCGTTCTTTAACACCGAGAATCCAAACTCCACTGTCCATCACTTATCGTGTGACCAGATGGTCTGCCTGGAGAATACGATACTACATGGGATTCTGGGTACGGACATTCTGAAATGGCCATTATGCAGAAAGAGAAGTTTGGCTTAGTCAAAGGAAATTTTATGGCAACAACAATCTCCAGTGTTCGTTTGCGCACAATAAATCCAATAACGTCGTGTTTTCGTTTTCTGTACAAACTGCAAACAGTATTTTTTAATTTTTGATTCATAAAAGTTAGAAAATATAAATGTGCTGTATGCATGTTGAAAATAAAGTATTTCATTGACACGATGTCTTCACTTCACATCTACTTCCATTAATATGTTTCTGTTTTCACAGTTGACACTGTGACGGCCACCTATCGCCCAGAAAATAATGACATTGAAAAACGCCTGTACAGTGGAGCAGAAAATCCGAGCCCAATAATGGACTTATTAGAGCAAGTTATGGCAATGCGTGCTTCTGGTCACGTTAGGGTGTATATTGAGCGAGATACTGATCTTTCTGCTCTACATAATGTGATTAAGGTACGTGAGTTTTAATACAATAAAGATGATTTTCCAGTCATGCAATATGTGTTGAAGTAGATCATACATAGGCATGCATGCACGGAACAGATCTTTTCTTTGTGTGATGCGACATGCAGTCTACTCTAAATCAGAAAATATAATCTGCATTCCGTGAAATATAGTTGTTAAATTGTTTTATACTCCGAAAGTTCTACAAAATCCGAACCAAACCCTTCTTTAAAATCCAGCTGATACAGTCTGATACAGTATTCAGTATCCTTACAGCTAAGACGAGACCCTTATGTTGGGGGGCGTTCACCGTTATTTTACATTTCATTTGCTAGATTTTGCTGGTACACAACTCCAAAGTGACCAATGTGACATTCCACGTGACCCCCGATGCCAACAAGGACTACATCAACGAGGGTATTCAACGTAAGATAGAGAACTGGGCCGGCTCGGCGTGTCCCACGCGCAGTAGGGTGGCCATTTCTCCGTTCACAGTGGATGATCTGCCTCACCACCGCGTGCGTCGCAGTTTAGAGAACAGCAAAGCCAGAAACGACATGAAACGTGACCTTCACCACTGGGAGTTGAACTGGTTAATGCGGAACTGAGACACCGATGCATCAAGCATACCACTTCTGGTCGTGCTGTTTGAAAGACTTCACGAAGCTTTATATTTTTGTGTTCTTTCCATCAGTCACGTGCTCTGTGTCTTAATGTTGAGCTTATAACATGACAATGAGTTCAAATAAAAAAGACAATAATTTGATTAAAAATTAAGATCTATGTAAATGGTATGGTAAATGCTGTAGAAATCCATCCCTTTTATAATTTTGTTTTTTTTTCACTTATCATTTGATACATGCATTAAAAGTTCTTGTTATTGACTTTTTTGTATTTTTTTTTTCATTTGCTAGTCCCAAGAATGTACAGTCAGAAATTTTCAGACCTGTCTACACTACTGGTCTCTTCGAGAATCTCCCTATTTGGGGACATACTAGTATCTCCAAACCTCTTGATTCAGACTAAAAATCTCCCGATTAATCAGACTTTTCTTTCTCCTTTGGTTAAAACGTGTGGCGATAAAATGTGTCGCTAGATCTTTTCAAGCAAGCCTGGTGAATTAATTCATAAAAAAAGTACCGTCACTAAATTGCCATCTCAGTTTCATTAATTGATTATGGTAATTGCAATAAACAATGAGGAGGATATGCCAAAGGCAAAATCACGTCGGGTCTTTGTGTAACTTTCTCTCTGAACATTTTCTATGTTACTGTCAATGGGAAAGGAAACGAGATAGCGATCATTTAAAAGGTTGCTGCTGTTTTTACAGTGACTTCCTCAGTTAACATTGAAATGCCCGCCCCCCCCCCCACCCCCCCACCCCCCACCCCCAAGAAGATTCAACTTCAGGAATTTCATAGTCACGCCATTTAACACTATAAGAAAATATTTATATGAAACGATTTTCAACTGTTGGTCATTTATACTGCAAAAAGAAGTTAACACCAGAGCTAAATAGTAACATATAATCCTTATATTGCGTAGTTTAAATCGTTTCCAAACTTTCCTTTCGATATGCAAGGTTCATTTGCGGCAAGATTTTGGCGATAATTAAAAAACATATTTGTACAAAGTTAGTTTGCATTAGTTAAGCAGCAAGTAAGTGAGGCAAGACACCCTATTCATCTTTGCTGAAACTTATAATTATATCTTAAAATTGTAAATGCTTTAACCATACATGAGTATCATTCATATGATAATAACCAACTATATGTATTTTGAATTCGTACTTTGTGTATTAATCAAAGTACAGATGTCAATAAAATGACATTTTTAACTAACAACTATTTCTGTTGTAATTGAAGAAATTACGAAATTGTTGACAGCAAACTAGCCTCAGAGACTCCTCTCAATTCATGCACACATAAATAATCTTGATAAGCACATCATGCCACCTAGGGGAGGGATTTAAAACGCGAGACAGGAGCGTATTTTTCAACGTCTTTTCAACACGCATGTGAAAAAAACATTTCTCATCACTTAAACTAGACAATGGAGGAGAGCTAGAGGAGTAATCACAATATAAATTTACCTACATGTACATGCAAATGTGTTACTTTTTCTCCAGTTCACTATTATTCATTTTAGGTGGATTGCACGTAAAACACGCGTATTTGTCTGTATTGCTTTGCAGTTACTGTTTTCGTGACGGCAATAATTCAATTCGTTCAGAGTAACAAAAAAGTACTTGTTAATCAAAACAATTAGATGCGATTTTTATGGGACGACGTATTCAGTGATGTGAATGTACCGGTATCTTGCATGCTTAAGTTCTTGAATTTGGTCCGTATAATTTGTAAAATCTTGCATACACGGCCTCATATTTATATTAATCTCAGGCCTTCGATGTCATTATGCGCTACACGGAACTCTTTGAAACCTAAAGTACAGGGCAATGTGCAAGTTAATCCGCCAAAGGCAATTTCCGGCGGAGTCATGTTGTCCTAGTCATGTTGTCCTTCATGCACTTTTATAGCTAGGATGAACACTATGAACAAGAAACGGGCCTTATTTAGCTTTCCTTAAATCACGACAACTGTACCACAACCAGTCTAGAAAGCCTTGTTTTTATTTATTACAGTGTTAACCTGAACAAGTACAATTAGAACAAGTACAAGTACAATTATATGTTGGATGGAATAAATCACCAACATCGTTTATTTTACCTAAATGCAGTCATTAACACAAAGTTGTACAGATAATATTTTGTAAGAACTGCCAATGAAAAAGACAGAGATCAACCCAAGTACAGTCTAGGCTAGTTTTATTTACAATATAAACCATTAGGAATACACGTACGCTTTAATAAGTAATCATCATACGTCTCTGCTCTTGTCAATTGAAAGCTTTCGATCGATGACGCTCATTAAAATGGTCAATCATTTTCCGATTAAAAATTAACATGACGGGTCTTTGAATTTAGAATCCTTCCCTCAATAATTTATGTTTAAACCTGTAGAATTCCATTCGTTTTGTAATTTCGCTGTTTTTTCATTTGGAACGTGTAATGAAAGTTCACAGTATGTATAACAACGAAGAAAAAGGGGTAATCTACATCTATGTATAATCATCCCCCTGCCCTTCACTTCACGAATGATATTTCTCGTTTGACAAGTTATTTTTGTATATATAAACATAGCATTCGTACAGTGTAGAAAATGTGACAATACACAAAGTTGATAAAATATGAAAGCATTTTAGCGTCTGGTTTGGGCACCAGTGTCTATGATTTTTACAGTTAAACCGCGTCCAACATTTTGACCTTCTAACGTCATTATAATTTTAATCTGTATGGCACTAATGGAGGACAGGCTCTATGTGACACGGATCTTTACTTTCAATCAGTTTTTTTTTAATTCGAGCTCATTGTTTTGAGTCTTCACACTCAGACTTGAATGGGAAGAATACAAAAATATAAAGCTCCATGTTTTTCAAACCACGACCAGAGGCCGTGTGTTTCATTCATTAGTGTTTCAGTTCCGCATTAACCAGTTCAACTCCCAGTGGTGAAGGTCACGTTTCATGTCGTTTCTGGCTTTGCTGTTCTCTAAACTGCGTCGCACGCGGTGGTGAGGCAGATCTTCCACTGTGAACGGAGAAATGGCCACCCTACTGCGCGTGGGACACGCCGAGCCGGCCCAGTTCTCTATCTTACGCTGAAGACCCTCGTTGATGTAGTCCTTGTTGGCATCGGGAGTCACGTGGAATGTCACGTTGGTCACCTTGGAGTTGTGTACCAGCAAAATCTAACAATGAAATGTGAAGAATGGTGAACACCCAGCAACATGACTGCCTAGTCTTATTTGTCAGGATACTGAATACTGTTTACTGAACATCAGGTGGGTTTTACGGATGCGTCTGGTTCGGATTTTGTAGAACATTCGGAATATAAAACAATTTAACAGCTGAATTTCACAGAAAGATTTGATTTTCTGATTTAGAGTAGACTGCATTTCGCATCACACAAAGAAAAGATCTGTTCCGAGCATGCATGCCTATGTATGATCTACTTCAACATATATTGCATGACTTGAAAACCATCTACATGTTATTAAATACTTACCTTAATTACATTATGTAGAGCAGAGAGGTCAGTATCTCGCTCAATATACACCCTAACGTGACCAGAAGCACGCATTGCCATTACTTGCTCTAATAAATCCATTATTGGGCTCGGGTTTTCTGCCCCACTGTACAGGCGTTTTTCAATGTCATTATTTTCTGGTCGATAGGTGGCCGTCACAGTATCAACTATGGGATGAAAACAGAAATACTTAAAGTGAAGTAAATTTAAAAGTAAAGACATCATTTCAATGAATGAGTACATCTCAAAATGCAAACAGTACGTTTATGTTTTCTCATTTCTAGATTTTTAATTGCGTAATCCGTAAAAAAAATTCGTTTTCTATTTTAAAGAAAAAAAATAGGAAGTTGTTGGCGAGATTAAATCAAAATCTAGACATGCTTTCACTGTACTGCATTCAATGTACATGTACATTGTTATAAAAGCACCAATTTTAAGTACTGAGTACAGCTTTAGAAGTAAAATATCTCTGTACAGTGGATGTTCGTACCCAGAATCCCGTGTAATATCGTATTCTCCAGGCAGACCATCTGGTCACACGATAAGTGATGGACTGTGGAGTTTGGATTCTCGGTGTTAAAGAACGCCGCCTTGTTGTGCATATCTCTAAACGGAGTACTGGCTTTGGATATGAAATCGCCCAGGAACGCCAGACATGAGCGTACTTTGTTTTCCCAAACAGACCCTGAAAAAAAAGGTTAAACGTTATTGATACATTTTTCGTACGCCGAAATATTTGAAAATGAATTCAAGTAGAAATAACTAAATGCATGTACGTGTGGCAATATCATTATCTATGTCTTATATGAAGGCCTATATTTTTAGCATTTTGTCAGAGGTAATCTGCAATTGACTCAAGTACCTGTTGACGGGTTTAATTAATGTTTACAATATTTCCCCAAACCGTTCTGACCTGATCCCTTGCACTTTCCACACGCGTTTACGAAACAGTCCCTGGCATTTCCTGCTTTCAGTGTTCGTGATCCCACAGCGGATTGAACCTTTTTCATTAGGGCTTTTAGTTCCTTTTCCCTATGTGATTTAGTATCTTGGCAAAATGGTGATGTCTGTGCTGAATTACAGTCTCGTCTGCATAAAGAAATTGTGGAGTGAATAAACTAGGGTATCGCTAAATAGTTCACAACTGTCTTGAAACTTTTGATGATTGATGTCGCTACGAAGGGAAGAGATGACAATTTCACAACTAATCTAAGAGAAAAATTAAAATACATTAATTCCCAACTCTCTTCAAAATAATCACAAACAAAATATCAAAATTGATTTGAGAGTAAAAATGAGAATTAATTAATATTCCCTAGATCTACAACAAATTTTGTCATATGGTAAATGTTGGAATACACTGGAGGTTAATCATAAACTATTAAGCCACGTTCAAATATCTCTAAGTTCATGGCCCCGTTTAGATTCCTGGCGACCTGTTGTAATGGAAAATGCAACTTACTTTTCCGTAAAGTGGTATACATGGGTAATTTGTAGAGACAAAACATTAAGCCCGCTAAATACTGTTTTGTTTTTGTTTTTTTTTCTGCGAGCACACTTTCATTTCTAAATTGGTTCATCTCGATCGCCAGGAAAAAGGCACCGTTTATGTAACAAAAATTACATGTAGTACTGTACAAACCTCCCAGAATCCAACTGTACAGATACATAAAACATGTCTTCACCTAAAGTTGGAGTCTTGCACGCACGTTCTGGTCGCCTTGGTACAATAATAGGACCACCTGTAAGGGTAAAATGTATGTTTTGTAGTTCCAGTACGTGTAATTGCAGCTTAACAGCTATTTGACTTTAAAATAAGTTTTAATAGTGTTTTTGAGTTGCAAATATTTGGATTACCACATATTACCATTAATTACCTCATGACGTGTTCACTATATCTACGGCCGTCACGCCATTGGACTATAGGAGTGCTAAAAGAGTAACACGCCTGTTAAAATCCACTGTACCTCTTTGAATCTGATAGGCAAACGCGTCCATGTCATCGATGTCTCTCTGCTTCCGTTTTCCACTCCCTGTCCACATGTACAATGGAGTACCACTCTGTGATGTATTTGAGGGATGTATGTCTATGTATACGCCATCAGAGTGTATTCCAATGTTGAGACTGAGTTGATCAAATATTACTAATGGAAGGCAAGACCTGACAACCTGCAGCGTTAGTTCTTTAACGGTTTTCTTAGATCCTTGCGTCAGTGCTATATACACGGCTTGCCCCATCTGGTACCTATGTTTTTCATTTGGGTGTCTGTTCTCAATATTTATTAAATTCACGGATCTAACGCTGTAGCCTTTTACCACAATTATCTCTTCCTCGAGGTCAGTTATAACTTGTTCAAGACATTCTACTACTTTCTCTTCAAGGCGGAAATATCGAAAGTACTGCCGCTGTTTATGTGGACACAGAAAGTCCTGTATTTTGAAGTGTTCAGAAATAGGCTGGCTTCTATTCCAGCCATCAAACAGTTTTGGTATTCTGGGCTCTCCGTCAAGTTCCTCTGGGATGACATACTGATGCTCCTCTATGGGTGGTGCAGTCACCACACGCAGTTGTGCCTTCATCAGTGAAACGACTTCACCAATGTCACCCTCTTGAGGCAAAACGCACACTTTTATCCTGTCATTTTCTTGACGCACATGGTCGAATCCTGCGCACCTTGCAAGCCGAGCTAATTCCTGAATTTTTGTCGGGTTTGATTTTTTTAAAGTAAGTTCGGCTGCCCTGGAATAAAATGTTTCACAATATAAATTGTAGTATATCTTATGACAACTAAGTTGATAACCGGTGTATGGACATTGCTATTTTGAATAAATCATAGGCACTTTACCTCCCTTCATAATGAAGCGAACTGTTCCCATGCTGACCCTGTGGATGAGATGATGTTGGTTCGTCCCATGCCTCCAATAGTTTGAGCCACTGAATACCTGCCCCTGCAAAGAAATGTAGACAATTCGAAAATTTAACAGACAATACAGGCCCGTAGCCAGGGGGGGTTCGGGGGGTTCGAAAGAACCGCCCCTTTTGCTGGAAAAAGGTCCACTCTGGGTAAAATTTTATCTAGGTACATGAAGATTTTATGGGAAAAGGTCCACTTTTTCAAAAAAAGAACCCCCCTTTTGAAATTGCTGGCTACGGGCCTGCAATACAGGGTATACACCCTATGCAATGATATGACTATTGCAAAAATCATAATGCGCATAATAAAATATAGATGGTGTTCATATCCCAATAGAATTATATGAGCTATTTCATCTCACTGTGCCTCAGGCAAGCCCTAACGTTGAAACCAGATCTCCGTCTTGGTCATAATAACCATCTAATGACAGGCTTTGTTAATTCAAGAATGTAAATATATTTACAACCTTGTACCTTTTGTATCAGAATCATCATCTGGCCATGTCTGGTAAACCAATGCAGCTAAGCGCCGGATCAGAAACACCATTTTAGGTGCCATCATCCTGTCTGCACAGCTGCTCCAATTGTCATCAGATATCTCTAGACAGTCAGTGCAGCGTCTTCCAGGGTTGCCACACCAGGTGTCAAGACGTTCGCGGTTTTCAAACATTACATCTCCGTACGTGTACTGCACCAAACTGTAAGCAGATTGATTAATTCACACACACACACACACACACACACACACACACACACACGCCTCAGAGCACATTAACATAAGGTTTTTACAATGCATATTACTGGAGAGTTACAGATGTTTAATTTTGTGCATGTCGCAATATGAGATTATAATTTATCAACAAAGACCCTTTTTGCGTTTAAGAATTAATGTGTATTGCAGGACTCCTAATAGTACGAGGTTGTAGTGATTGTTTTACCTTTCGAATCGGTCACTATCCCGAGTAATTCTTGTCTCCATTGGCATGCAAACGTCTTCCAAGGAAACGTCTTTGACATTCTGTGGCGATTCTGTTGCTTCACATTCGTCTCTGAGTACATATTCTTAAACAGTAAATGACAAAGAACATAAACCACAAATAAAGGCCCATTTCCAGCTGCTAAAAGCCCTCGAGCGTGCTTTGCGATTTTGGTTTATAACTACCTTTTTAAGTCTGCCTTTTCTATTATGTAATGGCATGATTAGGTCAAATAAAGGCAATGAACTTACTATGTTTACAAAAATGTTGACCCCTTTACACAATGTCGTTTAAGTATCGACGTTACACTAACTAGCAGACATAGCACCACATCACATATCTTACGTGGAGGACTTTTCTTATTCGTCTGAGCAGCACTACCACGCCGAATCCCCTTTCCATTAGGTGTCACAATATCACGTATGGCATTTGTTACACGGACATTCCCTGTCTTAAAGTCAATTTGTATTAGGTTCAAAGATGTGTTCGTTGGTGTCGAAGTAAATATGGGTAAGCCATCCGCACTCATTTCTTTGCGTTCGCCTGTACTATTCCCACCGCAAGAATACGTCATTTGTGGGGAAAAGTCTATTTTGGGGTCTTTGTTTCGTAAATACCCCTTAACTCTCTCCAAAACGTCACAACGAGGGTGTCGGTAGGTAGGATGATACCAAGGATCGCCAGTAGTTACGACAACAGATGGATTAAAAGCTTTTAAAAAGGAGTCATTGTTCGCGTGAGAACTTGCAGCTCCATGGTGAGCTAATTTGTATACAGTTGCTGCTATTTTATCCGAATTGAGAAGGTCTTTGTTCACAGAGCTCATATCTCCAGGAAATAGCATACTCTGGGTTTTGTATGTCAAACGCAGAACCAGGCCCCCGTCATTGCTAGAAGAACCTTGGCCAGATGAAAGTATGTGTATCTGTGCATTACCTGAGCATATGTTTGGGTTATATGTTCCTCTATTACAATTTCCCAAGAGACAAGGCTGTATTCTTCTCACATTTCTCTTTTCAAAGAAATCGGCTACCCCATTAGCAGCATTTTGT